TGATCTTTAAGCTATATTTCTCCATAGTCGCTATTCTACCGTGGGCTGATGGGCCTCCTTAGGTTAAGTTAGCAACAATTTTTACATTAGTTTTCTCATCTACGTCGTCGTCAAACCGAGATAAGACAGACACCTCATATGCCAAATACCATAAATGTGGCAGAACTTATGTAAAGCTGCTTTTGAAATGGTTTTGTCATTTCTTTCGTAAGCCTTCATTGCCTTTAAAAAGCATAAATCCTGGTTAGGTGCTTTACCGCTAAATTGCATTGCAACCACGGTTTCACGTATGTTGTAACGATGAACAGGCAGATATCTAACAGAGCTTCTTATACTTATTAGACCATAGATGGCGGTTCTTTGTAAAGTGTTATTATAGGTCACACAAAATTTAACTAGTCAAAAAGATCCTTTAGGGGCATCTTCAAAGATCAAGAAAATTAAAGTCCCCCCATTTTCTTCTTTTATGACTAATTTCTTGTGCCCTATGAGTGTAGATCCTATTCGCGTATTCTTCGCGGCTCCATGTCGCGTTCGCGCGTTGCTCCCGTTTGATGTCGCTTTTGTGTCCCGCGATAAAGGGTTCGCAAGGCGCGAACCTGACTAGGCTACTCATTCGCTGGTGTTTCAGTTGCCTCATAGCGAGTGCCGGGAATGGTTGTGTTTTTGCCACTTCTTTTCAATTGCTCTAGTTTTACTTATACAGGGTTTTTCAGTTTATTGTTGGATAACTTTAAGATCCGATAGAACTTTTAAAATTAATGCATAAAGTCTATATAAACATGGGTCGAAAAATGCGTGGCTTCCGAAATTTACTTTCTAAAATAGTTTTTTTTAAATATTTCGAACAATATTTGATGTATAACAGTGAAAATTGGTATACAAGGGTTCTTTGGTACGAGAAAACGAACCATGGGCATAGTTTTACTGTAGCCGCTAGAGGGCGCTCTCTACTGTACCTGAAGTGTATTAAAATGACCGAAAAAATTTTCTTAGTGCAATTTTTTGTTTTTTGAATAAAAATACTGATTCTTCGCACTTTTCAACATAAAAAAGCCCTCCTGTGAGTTTTCGTTATAGTTAGCCGTTTTTGAGATATTTCGCTTTTTGGTTCGATGCATTTTTATTTATTTATGGGAAAATGATATTTTTTTACATTTTCGATTTAGGCATTACAAGTAATTAAGATGATCGTTTAGATTGTGTTTTTAAACACAGCAATAATTCCTAACTCCAAACAAACACAAAAAAACAGAATATTAATTTGTTTAATTTTCCAATATTATTTTTAACAACTTAAATTAATTATTTACAACTAAAATGCTATTGGGTAGTTAGGACAAACATACAAAATCTAAAGTAGTTGCTCGAAATGTAAACCCAATTGTTCAATACACAATTCACATCTACGAATGATCGAACGTGGTATAGCATTATTCAAATAAGGCCTTATTTCATCACATGCATTCCTGATTCTGTCTATTAGCATATCTCTTGTGGTTACGGGAGTCTGGTACACTTTTTATTTTAGAAATCCCCACACAAAGAAATCTAATGGATTTAGGTCAGGGGATCGTGGAGGCCAGGCGACTGGTCCTCCACGGCCGATCCATCTTACTGGATAATTTTCGTCCAGCCAGTTTCTAACTATTCTCGAATAATGAGCTGGACAACCATCAAGCTGGAACCAGGCCAATCTTCTTAAATCTAACATAACATCATCCCACATATTTGCATGTTCAGCCTCTAAAAATTCCAAGAAGGTCGCAGCATTTAACCTTGCAGGCAAAAGGTAGGGTCCAAATAGTCGATTACGGTAGATACCAATCCACACGTTCACACTAAATTCATGCTGAAAATTTCTTTCCCGAACTGCATGCGGATTTTCATGCGACCAAATATGTTGATTATGAAAATTTACCACTCCACGTCTAGTGAAGCATGACTCATCGGCCCATAAAACGTAACTAAAAAAACTCCCTATTATTATCAGTTCTATCAAGAATCCACTGACAAAATGTGATTCTTCGTTCTCCGTCCCCTGGCTGTATTCCTTGCACAGGTTGCAAATGGTAAGGACGTCTATACTCATTTCTAAGAACACGGTGAACATGGCTTGCTGAAATTCCCAAGGCACCAGAAACTCTCATAACACTTGTGATCGGATTTCTATCAAACTCACGCAGAATCATACGGGTAAAAATCTGCGCTGACGAACATTTATGTTTTGATCCATTTGGGGATTTCCAAAACCATTTTCAATTATTTGGCGATGCACTCTTACAAATACTGAGCGAGTTGGATGTCATCTGTTTGGAAATATTCGTGCGTATTCTCTGGCTGCTTCTGCTGCGTTTCCATTTACAAAGCCATACACAAAATGAATATCCGCTAACTCTTGATTGGGGAATAAAAATGTCATTTTTATAAAACTTACAAAAAAAAAACAGGTGAAAGAACTAAATTTCGTGCATTCACAATTGCAAAAAAACGTTTCAGGTTTCAACAGACAACAAAACTAACTGTCAACTAATTGACGGTTAAACTTATTCTGCTTTCAATTTGAAAAATGTTTGCAGGCACAGCCAACTTCTAAAAATTATCGAGATATTAACTTTTTAACGTTATTTTATCATAAATAATTAAAAATGCATCGAACCTTATAAATCGAAATATCTCAAAAACGGCTTACTGTAACGAAAACTCACAGGAGAGCTTTTTTATGTTGAAAAGTGCGAAGAATCAGAATTTTTATTCAAAAAGCAAAAAATTGCACTAAGAAAAATTTTTCGGTCATTTTAATACACTTCAGGTACAGTAGAGAGCGCCCTCTAGCGGCTACAGTAAACCTATGCCCATGGTTCGTTTTGTCGTACCAAAAAATCCTTGTATACCAATTTTCACTGTTATACATCAAATATTGTTCGAAATATTTAAAAAAAACTGTTTTAGAAAGTAAATTTAAACACCCTGTATTTCGGAAGCCACGCATTTTTCGACCAATGTTTATATAGACTTTATGCATTAATTTTAAAAGTTCTATAGAATCTTAAAGTTATGCAACAATAAACTGAAACACCCTGTATATGCGTAATAATAAATTGCCAAAGCGCAAGGTAGCCCTCCAGCAGCAGTAGCAATTTCACCATACATACTCGTCAATCCAAGATTCTTGATTCTGTCGAATCTAAACGCACCGTATCACAGTAAAACCCGTTCAATTAGAACGGCTCCAAGGCTGGCCATCGATTATTCGTTTTTTTCGTACTACATAGTACTTTAATACGTACCGATGTTTAACGCTTGACTACACGTTGAACTGGTTACCTAAAAGCCAGTCTTCTTCTTCTTCGGTTCAATTCGGTTTCTTTGTCATCAGTAAAAGTGCATTCCCTTTCTTTCGGGTAAAAGGAAGAAGACGAAGAAAGTCTGTTGTATGACACTCCGTCGACGAAACGAAAGAAAAAAGTTTATTAATTTGTCTCGATGACTGTTGGAATGTCGTCAGTGGTGGGCTTTTAAGTTATCTGATCTTTTCGTCGCGGAACGGAGAACGAAAGATCGTTGAAGATTACGTTGATGATAGATTGCGCAGCGGCGTGGGCGAATAAGCATACCGGGTGTTTGAAATCGGACTCTCAACATCGGGATCTCTGATATTGTGAGATTCCAGCTTATTCTGATTTGAAAATAAATTATCACATTTTGTCCTCTACAAAGCGCCATAATTTCGTCTCCTGTCCATAACCAACTTTATATTTACTTTCTACGCCACTGGGCGAAGTTTTCTGATCGCGGAAAATTTCGAATGACCTCAAATGGATGAACATTGATGAAATGTGTAAATACCAGCTCCTAAGGCTGACTCATAGGATTCTTTATTCAAAAACGTCGTCATTTTTAGTAATCAAATGTATGGCATTAATATACATAGATATAGAGAGATTTTTTCAATTCCACGGTACAGAACAGCTCTATTTCATAATACATATACAGGGTGTTCCTTAATGATATGCGAATATTTAAGGGTGTAAATCTACATGAAAAATTAATGTTAGTTTGCTTAATAAACTATGGTCCAAAAATATTTCCTTAAAAAAAGTCGGGGTGTTTTAGGAAAACAATGGAAATTAAATTTTTCAGAACCGCTTCAGATATTTCACTGATATGTAGTACGTAGTGGAGGTTAATGAAGTTGCATATATTTTTAACGTACTACATTTGATATAAATTTAAACAGTTGCTTCTAATTCGGATCTTAGACACAATAGCAACGGGATTTATCTGACTCTCGTCCATCATGCTACGACTTTCTGGGTCTGCTAGACCAACTAGCCAGACTTCTAAAATCCACTAAGCTTGCGTGTAACTCATCTAGCTATAAATATCCGCTGTTACGTTCGGTAGTTTATAGAAACCACATCATCCATTTTAAACAAATTAATGCCGCGATTTTTCGACGTAATAGAAAAAGCTAAACGATACTATCAATTATGAGGAAGGCGAGCGTGACAAGTTTCCATGCACCTCGTTAGAAATATCACAGAAGTATCATTGACCTTCCTCAGACTTGATACTAACGATTATCGTATGGATGTTTTTTCCGTCTATTTGCCGTATTACGAGCACGATTTGTTGGTCATTTATACGATATTACCGGATAGTTTAACGTTTTTATTTATTAGAAATATGTTTTCAGTGCATTTCATAGACGTCGAGATAGAATGGAATGCTAATAATTTAAACGGAAATAATTTCTACTCTTCATAGTGAAAACATTATTCTTACACACACACAGCTTTCGGTATATAAAAAAACGAATTTTCTTGTAAGGTTTTTCCTCGGTTGCTCGAAATCTTGCGTTTGCGCTATTCCTATAGATAACCATAGAGTTTTCAAATGACCGCTTCAGGGTTGCCAAAGCTTGTACTTGTACCTGAAGCAGTTGCTTTTCATTTCGGTGATTGTAAAGTTATTGAAAACAAAATATCTTGTTACAGATCTTCAACTTGCTGCAGAGCTAGGAAAAACTCTCTTAGAAAGGAATAAGGAATTGGAATTAGCTCTAAAGCAACAGCAACTTACTATCGATGAGCAGGTACAAGAAATTGAGGTAAGTCATCAAGCATATGTTCATTTCCCAATAGGCCAAAAAAGTAACAAACCAAAAATATTTCACCGCCAATGTTGACTGTTTTTCTAGTAATAGGAGTTTATTAATGAAACGAGTGATTATATAGGTCAGTAGTCTGAACACCAGCGCATGTAAATCCCTAAATTCAAACTGCAGTGTTGTCGGATCTTCCGAAAAACCGCCAAATTTCGGTAGTTTGACTTTTCTTCTAGTTAGAATGTTCTCTTCCAGTATCTTTCCAAACAAACCACAGCTCTCAAGGAGGTGAACGACTCCAGGTTGAGGATATATGAACAGTTGGAGGTCAGCATACAGGATTTAGAAAGGGCCAATCACAGATTGGTGCTTGAGAATGCCGCCGAGAAAAAACACATCAAAAGGTACGCTTAACAATTTTCAGACACATAATCGATTTATTTATGTATTTACCCTTTTACAGACACACACAATATATAAACTTTACTTCCTATTTCAAGCTCTAGAAACCGCTGGTAGAATATTGCACACTTTTTTCGGGACACCCTATATATACAGGGTGACGTCGAAGTTGAGTCATTTATTTTAACAGTGAGTAGATCTGATCAAAAGAAATGTTTTTTCCTTTACCATTTTTCTGGTAAAATTAAAGTAACAAAGTTATAGCCCTTTGGAAGTTTGAGTACCGCCCTGTCTCAATAATAATATCATGTGCTCGTGTTTGGCAACAACGGATATAATCCGCGTTATCGGTTCATCGCATCGGAAACAAAAAAGCGAAAGAATTTGGAACGATGTTTTTACAATTATTTTATACAGTTCAGTTATACATACAGTCAGTGTCAGTCGGTAATGCGAGAGAATAGTGTCTGTTGCGTGGCTCAAACGAAATAAAAAATGGCACATGTTTATGCGGATCGGTTTCCCAATCGAGTGCAACCAACCCCTCGTGCCTTTGTTAATGTAGTACAACGGGCTCGTGAATCAGGTGACTTAAGACCTCACAGGGGACCTCACGATCAAATTCAGGTCCGCACTGAAATACTTGTCGGGAGGATACTTTATAAAACAAGGGAAAACATTTTTTTTAATTTTTTATTTTTATTTTTACACACATATTTTGGTTTATCTTCCTTCTACAATCATTATCTGAAAATTAATGACTCAACTTCAAAGTCACCCTGTATATATCGTACCGTTGCTTCTTTTTTCTTTTATTCTTAGACTAGATTTAGGAACTACAAGTAATACATATTTTATTAAATCACATTTCTCATACGTTAAGTTGTTAATGACACTGCATGAAGCTAAGAAGTTTATAATATTAATTTACTATATTTTGATAATGCTGGACAATTTTCAAGTTAGCTGGGAAGCAGATGCCTAGATCCTTGCATGCGCTTTCTCTACTTAGATGTCAATTTTTAATTACGTATGTAAAATTTATGTATTGTTTTTTGCGTGTAAAAATTGAAAACATGACAGTTGTCGATATTTAACGACATCTTATTTTCATGAAATAAATTGGATACCAAATTTGCAGTTCATGACAGTTTTCAGAGAATGTTTTGTGTTTAAAGGTTTTTGATTGATCTTAGAGAAGATTTCATAATCTACGCACCTGTTGGCAAGAATTTTTGAAATCTCCCTTTCCACTTTTAAGTTTCTCGGTGCAGAATTCCGGTTTTTGTCTCTTTCTATTTACGTGCTTTCATTTTAAGAGTCCTCATACTATGACTTACGAGTATTCTTTGGATATATCAACGAAAGTTTCTTCGACAGTTTGAACGGTACGATAGAATCCCTTGAATCGAAATGCGAAGAGCTCCAATCCACCGTGGACGACCTCAACCTCCAGATAGACATTCTGAAGAGAAAGTCTCAAAGAGCTGCCGAGCAAAGGTACAGCACGGGTTCAACGAGAGAGAGCATCACACTGAGGAGGGTCGAATATGACGAAACGTCACCTGTCAGTCCCGATACCACGGCCGCTGAAATCGACGAGGTAAATAAAAACGTTTTTTAAATTTTATGTTTTATCTATGCAGATTGTTTATAAATGCTAAATGTAGTTTCACTTAGAAAATTCTAAACGAAACACCCTGTATGTTATCCTTTTCATCAGCTTTCTTTTGATATATAATTCGTATCTCAATAGTCATAGTTAATTTTATCATTTTTTGCAGGTTAATAGTACGAGTAGCTCTGTGCCAAAACCAAGGAAGACTGCAGAAACCGTTGTTCAAACCGATAACAGTATTTCCGGTACGACAGATGAAGCAGATAATTGTAGTATTGATAGCGTTTGGGAAAACGATGGCATGGAACAACAACTGTTGGCCCAGCTAAGCAAGGTATCCAAACATTTTGAATCAAAACTAATTTTCTCCTCTCCCTCTTTTAAGGCTTTAAGCAAGGCCAATATAAATTTGTTGGGTGCCATATGAAACCACACCTGTCCAAATGACGTTTCGGGCGCTTCGAAAGTTATTAACCATGAACCGCTCTGATTAGACAATGACTTTAAAAAATACACATAACATACTTCCAAATCCGTTTTTCAAAAATATTGATTTTTTTTGGCAGATGAGGGCCCAATGTAACAGAGACGAAAGAAAAATCGCCGAATTGGAAGAGCAACTCGCAGTGATAATTCAACAGAACCAGGCGTTAGAGAATCAAGTAGTACAACTGTCACATAAAGGAGACCATAATACGATGAAGAGCTGGCATGAAGAACTGAGCGCAGTTGAAGAAGTCAGGTTGGTATAGTGAAAAAAGTTTCTTCTTTGGATAATTTTCACCATAAATACAGATATTGGATTTTCTCGACTTTAGATTTATATGTAACATATAAAGGAGATCAGATGATACTACGATATTCACGTAAACTTCAAGTAAAGTGAAATGAACTATATCAAGTTTGTTATTGTATTGATATAGTATGTTTCTAGTAAGGGACATTAAAGTTGTTGGTATTAAGCATCATGACAATATTCTGGCACCGCTCAAGGATGCTGTCTGAATTATCCTGCAAAAGGACTAAGCTCTAAGCTGTCTTGTCCATGAATTAGTGAGTAAATTTTTAGGCCATCCGCAAACATTTGGTTTGCTACTATTACTATATATATGGTTGGATACCAAAATAGTAGGGTACCCAAGTTAGTACCTTGTGGCACTCCCGTTGTTGGTGCGTATGATTCTGATCCGAAGCCGTTATTCTGCACAAATTGAACTCGTTTTTAATATTGCGATTCATTAGTCAATACTTACTTAACGCTTAACTGTTCGTCCAGACAAGGTCAACTATGCAGCAGATGCCTGCGCAATCTAGACCAGCCTTCATCTCCAGGCGCCGACGAAGACGACACGACCATGATGGACACCCTGAACGCTACAACAGCGACATCTACCGGAGCCGATGACGATCAACGCGACGACTTTCATACCAGCTTCCACATGGACGTCCAGGTGAGCAATCAGAATCAAATCACTGCTGCTTCTTCTTCTTCTGTCGTTGACGAAGAGTGTCTGGTGCGCGAGCATATGCTCGTCCGCTATCTTGGCTTTCTCTCGCTGTATCAATGTTTCCTGTGATTCTGTGTCTAGAAGCGGTGGGGGATTTGGAACTTGTCAATCTGTATGAACTAATGGTCTAGCTCTAGAGTCTAGAGAATGAGTAAAGGTGTTGGAATTTCTATGTTTCATTTGGATGTTACGAATCTGTATGGTGAGAAATGCGTAAAAAAAAAAGACGATATGTGGATGAATTGTAGTTGATTTTTTTATAATAAAAGTGAACAAAAAAATAGCTGGAAATTATTTTGCCACTAGGTAGCGTAATCCCAGTTTCAAAAATTCACATGCCATTGTGGCCGGCTAGTAAAGAGATTGCCTTCTTTTGTATTTGACAGCTCCCCTGTCTTTCCCAAGTGGCATGGCAAATAAGACGTCCTTATAACTTCAAGGAGGTTGAAGATTATCATATAGTAACCATTAGACTTTTTTGTATTCGATAGACGTTGGAAAATGTCAAACATAAAGACATCCACAGTTCGTTCTTTTCGTGTTTCCGTGTTCCTTAGAAAACATGTGCACTTAGTTCTTAAAATGTACCCCGTTGCCATTTATAATTTTATTGGTGGTGGACTTTGTGAAAAAATGTGCCGGTAATAAGGAATTCTTTCTATGCATGTGTTTTTTCTAAACCGCACGCAGCAAAGCTTGTGCACTTATGTCTGACTATGTTCGAAACTGTGCAGTACCAGTGATAAAACGTATTGTAGTAAAATTTGTGGTGGAAGTATTATAGATGTAAAAAGAAGTCGGAAAGGGATCATTAGGTAAAAACATATGATTTGAATTATTTCTCTTTTTTTAAATCCAAGCTAAACCGTAAAGTGGATACACAGATAGAAGATTTTCCTATTAGCATATATTTTGTTTTGTTTGTGTTTAAGTTTATTTACATTTAACCAATTTATTTCGTTTTTCATAATGTCAAATAAAAGTAAACGACCTTTTTTGTTCAAATGTTATTCTCTACAATAATAAGTGTTTTACACCACTTAGATTCGTAATGTAGCCATTATAGGCAGACAAATCATTACATACACCTTTACCATTGAATTTCTCGTAATCTGTTGACCAACGACAAATTATTATAGAAGCAAAATGATGGATAATCTAATTCCCTACAAAAGTGTTTCTCCAAAATTATAGGATTTCCTCATACAACATTTTCCTATTTCTTTGCCTAGGACAAACCTTTCCGATTTCTTTCTAATTTCGCGCAACTACGTAAGCAAAAAGTAGATAGATAGCGGCATGGATGTGTATGTGTCCTCTTAGGCGTACAAGCAGCTTCAGGGGACGGCCACAGATGGCGGTGATGGCGGCTGCGTTGACTGTAACCATGGCAATGGCGATGCCAGCGCCCTCCAACTGTTAATCGAGCTGTGGCTGCACGTCAGAGACGTCTGCATCGTGCCCTTGATCGCTAAACCGCTCAAGGTGACAGTGCTGTTGCTGCATTACTGCCTCAGACACAAGTTGCACTGAGAGATCGACCACAAGGTGCTACAATAGCGACTAATCTCCCAATTTCATGTAAAAGGTTTTTGTCCACTACAGATATCGAACTACACTCGTAAAGCGAAAGGACTCCTCTCAAAACGTATGACAGATGGGACGCAGTCGATTTGTCTAAACATATCGACGAAGACCCATTTTCCATATATTTTGTGCGGAGTCCTTTTGTTAAGGCGCAATGGATGAGAACCTTATAGACATTTTAATGTACTTACTTTTTCGGTAATCCCTATGTGGTTTCCAACAATCCTTTTTTTTTAATAAATGCAAATGGTGCAATTTTTTTACACACAACACGTTTTCGTTGAAAGATTGTTCATTTGATTTCCCTATAAAAAGTTGCGTTTGTATGTTTTTCCCAGTTTTTTACTTTGACTAGCGTTTCATATTCTTGCAAAACCGCTACAAATCGTGGTACCTAAAGTGAAAACTATTTTGAATATCCTTTATTAATTTATAAAAACATAACATTTTATATAATTGTTAGTACAAAAATTGATTTATTTTTGTTAACCCTGGGTATAGAGGAAGGATAATACTTT